AGGGAAGCTATGGGGTAAGCCCGGATCTACCCTCTTCTATCCCCTCTGCCAACGTTCAGACACAAAAGACCACCCTCCATGGGGACTTCAGTTGTGCCAAAGGGAGGAGGACCCACCGGCTCTAGGGTTCAGCTCAGCTTGCCTATCCCCTCCTTGGAGAGACGGTGTCTGAAGTCCTTCCACCTGTGGGGAACTCCTAAAGGAGGAGAAAGAATGTCTTGCATCCTTGGCTGGTTGCTCTTCCATTCGTGTGACAGCAGGACCGCATGCTAAGAATGCCACGTATAGTTTCTGTCACATTGGTAGTGACGTATTCCACATTCTCGGTGGAGAAGACCAGTATTCTTAAGATAGCTTCGTCTTTCTGTGTGTCAGAGTGACTGTCTCTTTATGGCATTGTAACACCCCTTTGCCTCTCTCTCCCTGGATGGGTGGGAATGCCAGCTCAAGAAACTTCAACTGAACGAACACCTAACCCTACGCAGAAACCTGGAAAGAAATCAGGGCCATTGGAATGGAATGGAATAGAATAGAATAGAATAGAGGAATGTAGAATAGAATAGAATAGAATAATAATAGAGTAAGATAATGACATGGAATAGAATAGTGATATAGGATAATGGAATAGAATAGAATAGAATAATAATAGAGTAAGATAATGACGTGGAATGGAATAGAATAATGAAGAATAGAATAGAATGAAGAATAGAAAATAGAATAGAATAGAAGAATAAAGAATAGAATAGAATAGTAATAGAATAATAATAGAGTAAGATAATGACGGCGTAGAATAGAATAATGATATAGGATAATGGAATGGAATAGAATAGAATAATGAATAGAAAATAGAATAGAATAGAAAATAGAATAGAATAATAAAGAATAGAATAGAATAATAAAGAATAGAATAGAATAATAATAGAATAATAATAGAGTAAAATAATGACATGGAATAGAATAGAATAATGATATAGAATAATGGAACGGAATAGAATAGAATAATGTAGAATAGAATAGAATAGAATAGAATGGAGAATAGAAAATAGAATAGAAAATAGAATAGAATAATAAAGAATAGAATAGAATAATAATAGAGTAAGATAATGACATGGAATAGAATAGAATAATGATATAGGATAATGGAATAGAATAGAATAGAATGAAGAATAGAAAATAGAATAGAAGCTGGAAGGGACCTTGGAGGCCTTCTAGTCCAACCCCCTGTCCTGGCAGGAGTCCTTATATGCCATTTCAAACCAATGGGTCTCCAGTGTCTTCTTAAAAACCTCCATTGATGCAGCGCCCACCAACCCTTAAACAGGAGGGTTGCCTGGAGGTCTCTGCTGAGAAGCCCCACCACCAACATCCTCCCGGGTCCTTGGCACAATCCTTGGGTGTGTTCAAGCAAACCGTGAGACCAGCAATCTAGGTCAGGGATGGCAAAACGTTTTGTTGTTGGGTGCCAAAAATGCAAGGGTGCGCGTGCGTGCATGCCAGCACCCATAATGCAAAGTACGGCCACACACGCGCATGTGCGCACTGCTATTTTTTGGGGAGGCGGGGGGTTGGTGCCAAGAACGTAAAAATGCAACAACTCCCCCCTTTTCCTTTTCAATGTGGATGAGCTGCCTGTGCTCTGGAGGAGCCCTTCCGGGCAGGAGATTCATGGCTGGTTATCATATCCATGCGGGCTCTTCTGTTAATGCGCTGCCTCCTTTTCCACAGCTTCCCCTTCTAGGCTCCTGCTGAGGTTAACCTCCCCAAATGAGCTCATCTGCTGAGGGGTGATGTCTCTTGTAGCTCCTTGAGTGCTTCAGCGGGCTGGAGTAGGCCTTTTCTTCTTGAGAACTCATGAAGCCACCCATTCTCTAAGCATCAGCCCCTGAATCAGAGATTAGGGGTCCCATCGAGATGGGCTGGATGAGGGATTTGCCCATCTCCTGCCTAGGATGCTCCCTGCGCATTCATTAAGAAGGGAGTCCTGATTCCTCCAGGTTTCTTTCTTTCTTTCTGCGTATCTTTCCGTCTAAGAGTTCGCTCGATGGTTTTAAACAACAGGGTTGTGTCTGAATTGGGGGCAAAAAAAGCTGGTATTTAGCTCATCTCATATGGGACTTCCAAAAAAAAAAAAGAATGGAACTAAAGCAGGATTTTTGATTGAGAAGTNTTTCTCTTTCTTTTCTTTTCTCCCTCCCTTCCTTCTCTACTTCCTTCCTTCCTCCTCTCCTTCCCCTTCTTCCTTCCCTTACTTCTCCCCTACTAATAGTTCTAATTCTGATGTTCCTTCTGCTCAACCAGGAAGGCAAGACTTGGGGACGGGGGGGGGGTTGTGCTTTTAAGGGACGGGCAGGTAAAGGGCTCTGAGTAAATGCGTGACATGCCAGAAGTGTGAGATGAAGGCGGGAGGAGCAGCCTGCCAGGTGGGACGGAGTAGATCCGCTCCCTGCCTGCCTGCCTACTCCAGGAGCAGATTTTAATGCAAGGATTAGCACTCTGAACGGAACCTGGGAATGAAAGGCAGAGCAGACTCTGGGGGAACACCTGTTCAAAGCTCCACCTGGAGTGCATTTTAGTAGCGCGATCATAGATAACACGGTGTCAAGTTGCCTGTTCTGTGTGATGGGCCGGGCCAGGTTTTTTTTTGTTCAAAGCCGATAATGGGCACTTTAGCTGATAGAGGAGCCCTGGGAAATTCAGTCCCCAGCAGCCCCCCCCCCTTCAACAGCCCCATCCTTACGTGGGGAAGCGAGACTTTCTACCAACAGGTGGTCCTCTCAGTTACTCCTCCTACACGGAATCCTCCCAATAGCAATAGCAGTTAGACTTATATACCGCTTCCTAGGGCTTTCAGCCCTCTCTAAGCGGTTTACAGAGTCAGCATATATTGCCCCCAACAATCCGGGTCCTCATTTTACCCACCTCGGAAGGATGGAAGGCTGAGTCAACCTTGAGCCAGTGAGATTTGAACCGCCGAACTGCAGTCAGCTGAAGTAGCCTGCAGTGCTGCATTTAATCACTGCGCCACCTCGGCTCTTGCAGACGTTTCATTACCCAACTAGGTAGCATCATCAGTGCTAGTAAGGAGTGCTGTTTGGTTGTTGCCTTTCAGGTGATTGTGATAAGTGATGACATTATTAGTTGAGTAATGACTCATCTGCCAGCCAACAACGAAGCTCAGAGAACACCCCATCTCCTACTTCCAGCATTCTGTTTCTACGTTTGACCTTCAAGATTTGGGTCGCCATTTTGTTATGCCTGAACAAAATTCCTTGTGTCCTTGTGACTCATGGCAATCAGCCAATCGATCGGAATAGAGCTGGAAGGGAGCTTGGAGGTCTTCTAGTCCAGCCCCCTGTTCAAACAGGAGACCTTACTTTAACCATGTCAGACAAGTGGCTGTCCAGTCTCTTCTTAAAAAACCGCCAGTGATGGAGCACCCACAACTTCTGGTGGCAAGCTGTTCCACTGGTGAATTGTCCTCCCTGTTAGGAAGTTTCTCCTTCCTAGCAGTGAGAACAATTCCTTAGCAGCCGACGTTTTGGTCGTAAGTTGAGAACTTTGCCTGTATTCATAACGGCTGCCCGTTCCCAACGTAAATTACAGCACAGAATGAAAATTAAACCCCCCCAGAAATCCTCTTCTGGCCCGTATTGAATTGGAAGAGTGAAAGGGAAGAATTGGGAGAGAAATCTTTTGTCCTCTGGAGGCAACCCGAGAAAGTGTTTGGCTGGCTGCGTCCCGTCTCGTCTTTCCAAACGGATTTTTGCCTTTTGATTTTCTGCTCCACTTTTGGCTCCGACCAAAATTAAACGGCTCCCTTCTTCTGCTTTGTCTTCTTTACATGTTACCGAAGAAAAGGTATTTTGTGTCACGGAAATGAACATAATTGCAGCCAAGGGACAAAAGTCTCATGTGTTGCCTTTGTCTTCTGGATGCTCATTAATTGCTTTCCATGCTCCCGAAAAGGTTACGGAAGGCCCCTTCAAGTAGGCTTCTTCTTCAGGTGTCCCTTCTCTCTCCTCGGGGGCTTCTCAGAAGCCCAGCTAACTCCCAAGAACAGTGTTCAAGGCTGCACAACGGAGGACAGCAAAACAGATTTCCTAGCTAAGACAACGAGGAAATGGGATCCCTCGATGAGGCGTCTCTTGCTCATCGATTGCCAGATGCCTCCCAGGTGTGTCTGCAGCAGTGGTGGGTTTCAAAAATTGTTCGAACCTACTCTGTGGGTGTGGCCTCCTTTGTGGGAGTGGCTTGCCACCCATGTGATCGGATGGGAGTGGCNTTGTTGTGTGCTTTTAAACTATGGTATTGTTTTGTCTGTCTTTTTATTCCTTATTTGTACCCTTTCCCCTTGACTTGGGTTGTGAGCCGCCCTTTTCCCCTTCGGGAAAAAGGGCGGCATAGAAATTTAATAAATCTAATCTATAAATCTAATCTAATATATCTCTGTTAGGCTGACAGCAGGATGTATGAACAGGACTTAGGGAAATACAACTGTTCTCCATAGGCTTCAGAAAATGTTCACAGAATGGAGTTCAATGTACAATGTTTTGGTTGACAGTTTGGAAAACTTATTTATTATTTTGAAGAACTTAATTGACTGAAGCATATATGCTCCATTCTACATTAAACTTAAATAGTCCTAAGAAACCAATAAAGGAGAATATTTTTAGGTCAGGATCGGAATGAGGGGTCCTTGGTGCTCTCTGAGCTTGCTTGTTTTCTTGCAGATGTTTCATTACCCAAATTAGATAACATCATCAGTGCTAGTAAGGAGTGCAGTTTGTTGTCAGTTTATATTCTAATACATGGGTGTAAAACTTGATTGTGTCGCGTGACATCACGTGACGTGCTGCAACTTTTTTGCCTTTGAAGAGCTGGGTGGGTGTGGCCTGTGCATGATGCATCTGGCCCACTGGCCACCAGTTGACACCCCTGTTTTAGTGGGTTGCTTGTCAGTGCTGGTGGGGGTGGTGTTAGATATTCATTGACAGTTTCTTAATTAGGATATTGTTTACTTGATTGTTAGTCTGATGTTAACCTTGGGGTTAATCTATGCTGATCTGGGTGCTGATCGTTGGTGGAGAGATGCCTGGGTCTCCCCCCACTTTTTTTGGCTGGGTTATAGTCACTTTTGCATAGATATTGTTAATGTCCATGTGTCTATTGATAGCTGATTTGTCAGAGTGCCACGTTTCTAGAAATTCCCTGGTATTTTGGGACTTGGCTTGTTCCAGGATGGTCACACTTTCCCAATTGAAAGTATGGTTAAATTTATATATTACAAAATTAAAGAATTTTCATTTCCTGCAATTAGGATCTTTTCTAGTTTCGATACAAATCCCTTTATCATATTATATACTCCATTTTAAACGTCCTTCCCAGCCCTGACGGTTTTCGTCATGCGATATGAAGGGACAGAGTCAGAAGGCAGGATCAACTACAATTTAATGTGTGCAGCCTTCAGATATTTATATGGGCTTACATCCATATTAATGTTGGCACTTCTTAAATAGCCCAGAAGGGAATGCCAAATAATAGTCAGTGACCCAAAATAGTTCCACTATGTAAGGCTGAAATTGATATAAAAGCATTTGGCAAAAATAATCACTTAATCCAGTTTGCATTTGAACTATCATTTCCAGGTCTTCTTAACAAAAGAACACTTAATACTGCTTTATTCAGGTAACATTTTCTAAATACATTTCATACAAGACAGACTCACCTCATCTTCTGTAAGAGATGGGTCATCTTCTCGAGATTTATAAATCAAGGAACTAAGTCTCTGAAAAAGATAACAGATGTCTTATTTAAAAGCTAACACTTTCCTCAAAACAAAAATAAAAGAATAAATGAATACATATTTTCCCCTTCATGATACAACTGTCCATTTTTCATTAGCTAAAATCAATAGCTCACTTTTGAGGGTAAGCAGACTGAAACAGAATGTTTACATGTGGCAAAAATAAGGGCACTGATATCTCTACTGGATTTTATTAAATGTTTGAACTTTCAGTGAAATGTGATTAAGACAGCATAAGTCTTTATTTAAGCATTTGAAACAAAGTTTCTGACTGATGTAGGAACTTCTTTTGCATTTTTTTTGAATTCTATAATCAATATTATTTTAGTGGTGCTTTAGACACAAAATATCCAAATTTTGTTCTATTATTCACTTGACAGCCCACCTCAAAACATAATAATTAATTGTTTACAACAATTTGTTTTGCTATGATTTTTGGTAATTTTATTTCTATCCTTTTTTTCATGGAACCCAAATGACTATATAAAGCTGTAAAGCAATACAAAAAACAATTAGACATAAAACAGAACATAAAATGAAACCTAGCAAGCAATATAATATTTGGATAATATAAGGTGCATTAGAAGTCCAGGAAATAAGATGATCTCAACCTGAAACAATTTGAACTTTATATTCTGAGGTAAACTAGAATTAAGAAAGCAGCTGTTTCCTACATAGAAAGAGAGAAAGGAAGGAAGATGGATGGATGGATAGAGGAATAAACAAATAAACAAATAAAGGAATCCCAAACAATACAATAAAATGCAAATAAATCCAGGATTTTTCATTTAATCCATGGTGGGTTTTGTTGTTATTAATACAAAAATATCAGATTCAACCAACACATTGCCAATATTTGGAATGTAGCTATTTGGAATTGGTTCAGGACACCCATTTGACTGGCTGTCTCTCAGCAGGATAACCTCTGAACATGCAACAGAATTGAATGGTTAATTTGGAGTGGGAGAAGAAGCTGTCAAAATAAAGATCAAGTTTTAAATGGACCAAATCTGGTTGGAGCTGCAAAGAAACAAGAGGCAGGCATGTTTCCAGTTTGTCAGATTTTTGGAGGGAGGGGGAAAAATCATAACAATGAATGCTTACATAATGACAAAATTGATACACCTTTGACCTTTACCAAATGTTTTTTTGCTTCAGTTTTCAAATGCTTCTCTGTCTTAACAGAGTCATCTGCTTATGTATAAATCAGATTTATAAGGCTAGTCAACTCATAAGGAGTCTGGGGTGCTATTCGTTAAAAATACATCCAGCACAATAAAGGCAAAAAGAAAACAATAACCTTGAGATTCATACTTCTAGTACATTAGTAATATTCTCAGAAAAAGCACCCCATCAATCAGAGGACGTAAGCCAGATCTTCCAGGCTTGTTTAAAGAACAGCAGGGTTGGGCCAACATGAACCTCTTTAGGGATTCTATTCCAGGGGGCAAGTGCTGTGACCAAGGAATTAAATTAATTGGATCTCATTAGATGCCATCATTTTAAAGAAGGACTTGGAGCATGGCCACTTAGCCAGACCTTACTGGACAAGCAGAAGTAATAGAAGAAAGAAAGTCCTGCAAATAGCAAGGTCCTTTGCCAAAAGCTTTATATTGTATGTCACAACTAGCAGCTTGAACTGCACCTGGAACCATTGCTGCTCATGCAGCAGAAATTGTACATGGGCACACCAAGGGGTTCCCATAACTCTATGCATTGCCAGAATCTGGACCAGCTGCTTTTGATTAATCTTCAGTGACATCCTCATGTAGCATGCAATACAGTAGTCTACACATGATGTGACCAGGGTGGGACCGATTGTGAAAATGAATTATCACACAAGGAAAGAGCAGAACCAGCATACCAAATAAATCTGGGCAAAAGTATCCCTGGCCACATCTGCCACCTAATGTACAAGTAAAAGCTTCAATTAAAATTGTGCACCAATGTGCATAATTGTACCCCGTACAGAAACAAGGATAGAAAATCCAAGGGGCACAGAACTACTTGGCCTTATTAGGGTTAAGTTTAAGCCTGTTCCCTTTCATCCAGGATCCAACAGCTTCAGGGACTGGGACAAGCCATCTACAGCATCCCTTGGTCATGCCAGGATCAAGATATAAAATTGAGTATCATCAGCATATTGATGACACTTGATCACATATTGATAGATGACATCCCTCAGCATCTCCATGTAGCTCTTAAGCAGACCTGTGGCATCATACAAATCACAGGGTTCAGGTTTAACCTTGCCATCCTGTCACCACTCACTGAAACCACCCATGGAGAAAATCAGTTATAATGGTATAGACCAGGGGTGGGTTGCTAATCCCGTTCCAACCGGTTCGGTTGGTACAGGGCCGGCGGCGTCCTCGTGCACGCACGCAGTTCACGCATGCGTCTTAGCGCCTGCGTGATGCTCCAGCTGCTCGCGGAGACTCGCGCAGATGCTGTATGTGCCATCCAGCTGCTCGCCGAGAATCGCGCAGGCGCTGTATGTGCCATGCCCCTGCTCGCGGAGAATCGCGCAGCCGCTGTA